CGGGCGTCGATCTGCGCGGCGTGTGTCTGAGGCGGGCTCGACCTCACGCGAGCGCGGTTCACGCGGTGCAATCTGGAAGGGGCCGACTTCGAGTGGGCCAACCTAAACGAGGCGCGGCTGATCGACTGCAACCTCAACCGAGCGATGATGGCGGGTAAGCATTCATTTCGCTCTGTTGTTGAGGCTTGTGCAGGGCTAACAGTTATGTTGAACCAGGGGTGAATCTTTCTAAGGCCAACCTGTCGAGTTCTTCATGTGTGGGCACCAACCTGAAAGGTGCGTGTGCGTGTGCGGTGGTGCGTGTGCGTGGCACAATATGGCTCACAATTCAGGCGTATGCAGGAGCGGTGCTGGAGGGCGCAATGTGCGCAAACACGGTCTTTCAAGATGCCAACCTTGCAGGTTTGTACACTCCTCATCACTGCGAAATGTGTTGTGCTAATGTTGGGCTGGCTTACAGGAGCCGATCTCACAAAGATGAATGGCGGAGCAGCTTCATTTGCAATGGCCAACCTCACAGGTTTGTGCACTCCTCTTTTTTGCTACTGCAGCTGGCTGGAAGACTCACCCACCTTTCCAACAGGAGCAAACATGACAAAGATGAATGGAAAGGCAGCATGCTTTGAGAATGCAAACCTCTCAGGTGTTACACTTCTCCTCTTTCACTTTCAACATCAACACTTTCTAAGATCCACTTTTGTTGCAGGAGCAAACTTGGAGGAAATGAATGGCAAGACAGCCTCCTTTGACAGTGCCAATCTTACAGGTTGTTCCCTTCTTGAATTCTAAAAGCAACTTTGGCTGATTTTAATGTGTGATAGGAGCAAGCATGAAGTTCATGCATGCAGATAGGGCCAGCTTTCAAAACACCAACCTAAGAGGTACCCATACAAACACCACAAAATAATGTCTTGTTATTAATGTTAGATCAGGCGCCAATATATACAGTTTGAGTGCAAGCAAGGCCAACTTCCAAGGTGCTGATTTGACAGGTAAGGTGTGCAGCCTGTGCTGAGCTATGGAATTCTACTGATCACTTTACTTACAGGAGCTACAATTGAGTATGCCCAGTTCCCAAATGGATTTTCTCCTCAAGTATGAAGCTTCATGAAGCTTCATTACAAAGTTGTATTTACACCACCCTGCAGTCCTGGAATGCCAAGACATGCAAAGCTGGACCACTAGAAGTGTGCAGTTTATCTTCCTTGGCAATGTCTGTGTTTCTTAGCTTTTTTAACTTCATGTGCATTAATTGCATGAGGATTTTTCCTCTTCATTTGTAACACTAATGGACTGGTTGCTCTCTAAGAACCTGCAGCCATATGAAATGTGAGTCATTGAAAGGAGTGTGGTATTTAAGAGGTTCAAATAGAAATAGCACTGCAATCTTCATCATTTTACCAGTATTTACTTTTACCCTTCCCAAAGAAATTCCCATCAAAACAATGCTGACAAAGGTTCTGGCCAATTTAGAGGCAAGTTTTTTCTGCCCCACTCCATGCAATAAATGTTGAAATACACACTTTTTCAAGCTTCCAGTTTTTGCCCTGATGCAAGCTGGCCAATATCCAGAAAATGTGGCACCACCCTTCTGTTTCCAAAAGTGTACATTGCCTTCTTGATGCTCAGTACAACCCCTGCAGGTCTGAAACCATTAGAATAAGGCAATGCTCCAGCTCAGTGGCATCAAGATGAACTTCTAAGGTACTGAATTTGGGCCTGGTTGTGATATACCTCTGATGAAGGTTTTGCCTGGAATAACAGGGACTAGGCTCAGTTGTGGCATTGGAGTGTAATGTGGTATGGTTTGGCCTGAGCTGCAAGCCCTTGTGCTTATGTATGGGGAGTTGTGTAATGTGTATGCAAGCTCTACACAAGAATAAGTGAGATTGGTTTGGCTTCCCATCCCTCCTCCCCCCAATCAAGCAAGCAGAGCTCATGTCTTCACATGGAACATGGTAGAGAACTGGGGCGTCTCCTTTCCAGCAGAACATGTTGTGTCAAAAGTTGATGTGCCACTCACAATCATCAAGAACGGGCAGCGGCGAACATGCGGCTGTACCGATCCACAGCGGCCTGCCACTTGGCTCTCATCATCCGGGCGGTGGTGGGTCTGTTGTCCGCCGCGCCATCTCCGCGTGATGAGGATGATGCAGCGTCTTCGTTGGCGGGAGGACTGGTCCCATCATGCAGTCGCTGCTGCTGCTGCTGCGCCATCCACTCGCACACGACCCGGGCCTGCGGGAGGAGGCCCAGCTCGCCGCAGAGCACCAGCAGGAGCGTCGCGCCGCACTCTGGGTGCGGCAGGACCAGGCCCGGCTTGCGCCCTGGCTCGGTGGCCGCTTCCACGTTTTCTTCGTCGTCGTCTTCGTTGCGGATCAGCTTCTGCTCGACGCGCTGGATGGCCGCCTGCAGGTGAGCAGACTCCTGCGCCAACGCGGTCGACCGCTCCGTAGTGGTGGTGGTCTGCGTGTCTGCGCACAGCCTCGCAGCGCGCTTGGCCAGCGTCCGCCGCCGCGCGTGCATGTCGTGCCACTCGGCGACCAGCGAGTCGCACACGACGGGCGTCAGCTCCTCCACCACGCGCCGGGTCTCTTCCACCACCACCTCTGCCGCCTCTCCTTCCGCTCGCCGTCGCTGGCGCCGCAGTCGCAGCAGCTCCTCCGACACCTTAACCTGACCCGTCGGCGTCTCCTCTCCTTCTTCCGCTGTGGCGGCGGTCGTGGCGAAGACAAAGTCGACCGCGGCGGGCGAGACGGCCAGCAGGCGGTCCAGCAGCTCGGCGCAGGCCCCGAACGAGCGTAGTGTCGGCAAGAGGTCGGCCGGCACGCGCACCCTCCTCTCTTCGTTTTCGTTTTCGCTTTTCGCTCTTCTGGGCTCGCCCGATGCCGAAGCCGACGAAGAGGTCGCGCAGGGTGTGCCAGGAACCCGGGAAGCAGAGCGAGAACAGGCGGAGCTGCGTGACCTCGTCGGCCCCGCCGGCCAGCAGCGGCTGGAGGCAGTAGCGCAGGCCGCCCTCGACGTCGTCCAGCAGGAACGAGATCAGCGCCAGGCACAGGTACGTGGAGTGGGCCACTTTGTTGTCGTGCCGGGTCCGGGGGCCGCCCGGGCTGACGACGTCGGCGAGGTGCTGGTGCGATCGACGCAGCAGTTCGTCCCGCTTGGCCTCGAGGCTGACCTTGTCGAGGGGCAGACCGCGGCCCTGCCACGCGAGGTAGACCTTCTCGAAGAAGTGCGGCTCCGCCTCGCTTCGCCTCAGCCGCGCCAGGAATCGGCTCGCTGTGTGTGGCGACAATTAATGATCGCACACACACCACCGCACACGCGCTACCGCACGCACTACCGCACACGCGAGACCGCACACGCAGTGACAAAGGAGGGCTGTACCTGAGGGGAAGAAGATGTGGATGAACGAAGGCAGAGACGGGGTCGGTGGCGATGCCGCGGCTTCGGCCTCTGGTTGTTCCTGCTCTGGCTTGTCGTTGGCCTCTTCCCAGAGCGCCTGCTCGACGCCCAACAGGTACAGATTGGCGTACAACGTGGGAAACTTGGCATAGAGTTCGAATGCCTGATGTGTTTTAGAGCAGAGCTTTGAGATCTCTGAGATCGATGCGTGTGTGCGTGTGCGGTGGTGCGTGTGCGTGTGCGAACCTTGTCAAAACTGCGAGTGTTGTACATGCACATCTTGGCGTAGGTGGTCGCGAGCGTAAGCGCTGCCTCGGACTTGCCCGCCAAAAGCGCCAGGTCAAGTGCTGTGAAAACGGAAAAAAAAAAAAAGCACACACGCATGAGTTGTTGAACATGAGCAGCTATGAGCTCCAAGCGAATGACGGTACGTACCAGCGTCCAGGCCCAGAGCGTCGCCCTTGCGCGCCAAGTACTGGATGGCCTTGTCGATGTTACCGAGCGCCAGATAACTGTCGTAACGTCGTATGAGCCAAAGAAGGTCTTAATGTAATTAAAAAAAAAGTAAAAAGTAAAACGTACCATTTGGCCACTTGTTCGTACATGGCGCGACGCTCGCACCACTCGGCCCATTCCAGGTAGAGCTCACGAATCAATGGATCCTGATGAAGAAATGTAAGACGAAGACGAAGACGAAGACGAAGATCAAGAACGGATTCAACGAGGGTACGTCGTACATTGGATTCGAGTCGCGTTTTGGCGAGGAGGATGGCCTCGCGGAACATCTCCGCTTCCGTGTAGACCTTGACCGCATCCGCGACCCTGTGGCATGTCAGGAAGAAGAGCACCTGGCGAACAAAAATCGATTAAATAATGAGCGAGCGATGTGCACTGAGTGTAGTGTGCGGTGAGTGCGGTGAGTGCGGTGAGTGCGGTGAGTGCGGTGTGTGCGGTGTGTGCGGTAGAGATGCGCGTACCGCCTTGTGGACGTCGCCTGCCTGCTGCAGCTGGTAGGCGTAGGCCACGCACATGGCTTCCCACACGTCACGACCGGCCAGCGGGCTGAGGGCCACCCACATCGCCGATAGGCCCTGTGAAGAAGTGACAGCCCCAGAAACAACAACCGACGGACGAAGAATGGGTCTGTCAGCCACCTCCCTACCAAACGACACAAGCTATGCAGGCGTGGGGCGTACGTACGTCCTTCTGAACCGTCTGACGAAGCGCGGCGCCCACGTCGCCCTGCCACATGGCCAGCATGGCGGAGCTCTCCCAATTTCCGCTCTCCGATTGCGCCGCGCCTGGCACATACAAATATTAAAAAAATACCATATAAATATATATGGTAAATTGTTTCCAATCGGGTGCTTGACGCGCTCGGCGAGGGGGGTACCTTCGGCCTGCAGCAGGTCCAGTGCCTCCTTGTCGCCCATGAACAAGTTGACCTCCTGCAGGTGCCCCTTGGTCGGCCCCGGAGAGGACGCGACCGGCTGCGCTTCGGCGCCTGGTTCCAAGGCCTTCGAAGGCTCTGCAGCTTCTTTTTCTGTCGGTTGTGTTGTCGGTCGGTGGTAAACGTCGACGTCGTCGTCCGCCTCGGCGGCGTTCTGGGTCTGGTGCTTGAACATCTCGCGCGCGATGGCCTTGCACACCTCGACCTGCTGTTGTCGCGACTGCAGGGCGTTGTTGGACATCGGGAGCAGCGTGCGCTCCTTCTTCGTCGCCGTCTTCTTCTTGCCGCCTCGTTTGGTCGCCATCGCCGTCGCTGTCGTCGTGTCGACCTGCTCCGTCGTTGTCGCGGGTGGCACCTGTTCTTCTTCGCCGGTCTGAGCCTGCACGGAAGCATCGGCCACCTGGTCGCCACCGAGCTCGGTCCTGCGTTCGTCCGCGGTCGTGGATAGCGGCGGGGCTGGGCCTTTGGGCTCCGCTGCAGGCGCCTGGGACACGTGCATCGAGGGTGGCTCGGTTGTACCGCTGGTGGTGGGCACCGGTGCCTTCTTCGGAGCCGGCGGCTTCTTCGCTCCGCCACCAGCATCCTTCTTGGCCGCCGGCTTCTTCTTGCGCGGCAGAGGTTCTACGTAGCTCCACACACACACACACACCACACATACACACACCACACACACACCCGCGTCAATGCTGGAGAGCATAACGCCATGCCGTCTTAACAAGATTTGCGGAGGTGAGGAGGCGCACCCAAGACCGGCGGGGTCGTATGAGGCTGACTCAAGTAGTTCCACATGTGCGTGGTCTGGTCCTCCGAGGCGCTGAAGAGGAATCGTGAATCAAGCCCGTTCCACCTGCAGCACAACAAGAACGAAAGAGACAGCGAAAAAGAAAGAAGAACGAAGAAAGAGATGAGTGCGCCGCTTTCGACTTCCACCCGGGTTGACCACGTGGCTGTCGCACCTCACGCCGAACACCCGGCCTGCGTGGTGGCGGTAGTTGGCGAGCGGGGTGCCGGTCAGCGCATTCCAGACCTGCACCGTCGCGTCCATGGAGGCGGATGCGATCAGCTCCGGGTTGTGCGGGCACCAGGCGATGTCCGTCACCGACCGCGTGTGACCCTTCAGCACGCGGATGCATTCCTCGCTCGTCCCCACCAGGGACGGAGCAACTGTGTCGTGCATGTCGTGCGTGTCGTGAGTGGTGAGTGGTGATGGCGGTGGATGGTGGTCGGTGGTGTCGGTACCTGCTTTGCCACCTCCAGCGATGATGGTGGTCACGTCGTAGATAAGGATGGAGTTGTCGTCTGATGCGGAGGCCAGCAGGTTGCCCCAATACAAAGAGGACGCGGCCGTTCCGCACTCCTGTGCCGGCGGTGTTTCTCTAACGTTAGCGCGGCCATGTAGGAGGAATTCAGACTGCAATACGTAGCAGTGGGTACCCCTTCGGCGGCGCTGTTCCACTTCAACCGGTTGATGAGCTTCCGGTGATCGCTGAAGACGCGCAGACAGCGCCATGACGGGTACTCGAAGAGTTCGATCGTTCTACCGTGCAACACAGAACCGTCCCGGAAACGTGTAAGTTAAGCAATGTGCCAGCCGACGTGGTGATGGGCCGCCGTAAGCTGAGGTGTTGGCGCACCCGTTGCTATTGCCGACTGCGAGCAGGGTCCCGTCCTTCTTCCAGGCAAAATCGCTCCGCTTCGGAAAGGTCGGCCTCTCCTGATGAGCGAGCGAATACTGTGGGTCTAAAAAGTAACACATCATAAACGACGGGAGAGAAAGCTTAGGTAGGCACCTTGACCTCGGTGGCGTTGGCGCTCCCGATGTGGAGGTTGATGTTCTTGGGGAACTTGTTGGGTTTGGCCGGGTCGAATTCGAGGATGTTGCCGTCGCCACCGCAGCTATAGAGCAGATACCGCTTCTTGCCGCCCAGCCCAGCCTTGCCCTCTTCGCCCTGCTGCTGTTGCTGCTCTGAGTTGTCCTCCTCCTCCTTTTCGTCCTTCTTTTCGTTACTTGGCCCAGACGCCTCCTTCGCCGGTTCAGTACTAGCGTCAGCCGCCACATGCCAGCCGAGCTCGTAGACCGGTCCTGATCAGACACAGCCACGAATCAACAACAGCCAAAACAAACGAAAGCCAATCAACCGTGACAACGGGGAAAGTTGAGACTTGACTCACCTCGCGCGTGGTGGCCTGCGAACTGTGCCACGGTCTGAGAGTGCGTGTTGTAGACGCCCACGCGACCGTCGTCCATGCCGTAGGCAAGAGTGCCAATGCTCGTGGGGTGCCAGGCGACCTAAAATCGCACTCGTATGAACATTGTGTGCGTGTGCGTGTGCGTGTGCGTGTTGCCTCGAATGCCGTATGCGGGTGGTCTACGTACGCAGGTCACCTTGGCCTGCAGGCCCTTCCACAGGAGTATGGTGCGATAGGGGTTCTTGTTACTGGCCCCGCCTTCTTCCCCGTCATCGGCTTCGCGGGAGGTGGCCTCCGATATGTCCCATATGCGAATCGACTTGTCGCCCAGGGCCACGGCCAGCTTTGTCGGATCCTGATGATGGTGATGCCAATTTTTGGCGATCGGTATGTGAGCCCAACTATGCACAGCACGAAGCGATCGCCCAGTTGATGTTATGCGAATACCATCTCTGAATAGTCGAGGCTGTACGCGAAGCCGCCTAGCGTGGGAATGCTCCATACGCTCTTCAGCTTGACGCAATTCCACAAGATGATCTGCATGATGATGGTTCATTAGCGTTGAGCTTAACGCTTCTTGGTGAAGCGTACCTGGCGGTCCATCGAGTGCGTGACAAATTGGCGCGGGTCATCAGGGAGGAAGGTGATCCCGAAAATGGCTCGGTTGTGGCCTGCTCCCGTAAGTCTGTTCGAGGAGGGTTTCTTCTTGTCGTTGATGTCCCACAGCAAGAGCTCGTCACTGTAACACACCACGCGCACACGCATAATCGCACACGCACACGCACACGCACACGCACAACCGCACACGCACACACATGTGTCAGTCCGACGAGTTGAAGTATTGAGAGAGGAGCGACGCCAAAGTGAGACACGCACTCGTTAGATGTCGATACGAGTTGGTTCCTCTTGCACCATGACCACGCGATGCTTAGCCACAGGCCAGTCTTGTCCCGTGCGCCTCGTCGCCCAGCCGGCAGGCGCATCATGCAGTGGAACTTGCCTGACGGGGGTGGAAACGAACAGAAATGGTGAGTTCGGACTTACTACAACGCAAAGCAGCAGCGCAGGAGGAAAGCCAAGCTAAGAGAGTTGCTCTGGCGCGAGAGTCAAGGAGGCGTGCAGAAGTGTGAGAACCAGTTTGCGCGTTCCATATGCGGATGGTCTGGTCACGTGAGGACGATGCCAGCAGCGGAGTAACGCGCCACGATGATGTCACCCCGCTTGTCGTTGCGTTCGCCGTGTGGACCTCTGCTTCTCCTTCTCCTTCACCGAGCTTTTCCGCTTCGTCGGTGTTGTCTCCCTCTTCTTCTTCGTCTTCTGCAATCGCGCATATGTGAAGGGTGAAGGTCAAGCAGCTGCAATTCGGTGTTGCGCACAAAGTATAGAGAAGCGCGCAGTGGTGCCGGTGTTACGCACTGCTGCGGCGCCACGATGATCCGTCGTCGTCGGCCTTCGAAACCTTTTTCTCCTGCTGCTTCGCAAATCGTGGGGGAAGCCACGACAGGGCATGGATCTCCTCGACATGCCCAGTGAGGCGGTGCAAGACGGTCCCTTCCTTGATATCCGCCACAATCACCACTCCATTCTGGAATCTACACACCAAGTGCGCGTGTCAACGATAACACGACACACGACACACAATCCAAGGCTCGGCGAGAAGAGCACGCACCCGACGGCCACTTCATCTTCGTTGTAGGGCGAACACTTAGGCACTGGACGGCCGAATCGATGCCCCACTTCTCCTTGGTGGTGAAGACCCGGGTGATGCTGCCATCGCCCCGCACCGTAGCTCCCTCAGCCGGGAAGCGCCACAGCACGACCACGCCGCTCTTGTCGGCCGACACCACCAGCAGGTCCGCGCTGAGCGGCGACACCGAGAGAGCCACCACCACACCCTGTAAAGTAGCCAGAGGGTCATACCACCGCCAGGCATCAACGCTACTGTCTGGGCTTAGCGTACCTTGTGCAAACGATGCTGGGCCAGGCACTGCAGCGTGCGCATGTCCCACACGCGTACGGTGGCGTCGGCTGCACCGCTGACGCAGTGTAGACCGCCGCGGCTGCCGCTACGCTTGTCGATCTCCAGGCTCGTTATGCGATCTTCGTGTCCGCGTAGTGCACCCACGAACTTCCGCGACTTGATGTGCAGCAGCTGTACGTCGGCCTTGGCTCCGTAAGCGTAGACACCGTCCAGCGAGCAGTCGGCCACCTGCCCGCAATACCAATTCGGAGATGTGGGCAACATCGTCGTCATCTCCCGCCCCTGAAATGTTGAGGCCTCCCCTTGCACTGACTCATCGCTGCCAGCTGTAGAGGTAGCCTGTTCTCCCACATCACCAGCCTCGCCTCCACCCAGCCCATCCACTTGTGCTTCCTCCATCTTGCCACAAGCTTATGGTTTTGCCAGTTTGCGAAACTGTTTCAACAGTCACGGCCAAACCATTCCGGAAATGGTTTTACTGTTCGGAATTACTTTCATCACACGTAGGGGATGGGGTAAGGTGCGTCCAACGGATGAATCCTGACCGGGTGAGCTTCTGTGTTGAACACCCACTCATCAATGTTGATAAGCTCAGGCGCAAACAGGAGGTACAGATATTTCCTGTTGTTGTGAACACACACGAAAAAGAAGTGAGTGGGGCATAGGTCAGGGGTTTTCAGGGTTGTGGGTGAGTCACGCTACGTACAGAGTCTCGGCGAGGAAGAAGCTCTGCTGCAGGTTGTCGTGGTGCGGCGGGACCTGCGTAACATCAGTGATGCCGCTGAAGCCATGATCCACTTTGCAACTCTTGATGAGGGACTGGAGTGATACAGGAACACAGGCGCGCATCAGCATCAGCCAGACCAAGAACACATTAGTGGAGGCGGTGGGTGGGTACGTTAAAGATCTCCCAGCCCCAGTCCTGGTAGATCGGGTCGCCAGTGACCCGGTACAGAATGAAGAGAGACTCCACCGTTTCTGGTCGCAGAATGTAGTGACGCTCCGAGCGTGTGCTGGTGGAGAGCAAAGGAAATGAAAAGAAAAGGAAAAGGACATCAGCATGTTGTGCATCGCGACATTGATCAGTAACTAAATATAGTACTTCAGGTACCTGAAGTCCTTCGAGTGGTCGTCGAAACGCAGGATCTCGGGGAAGATGCCGGTGGGCATCCGGTGGTAGCCCTCATAGCACGTCCTCGTGATCTCCGCGCCCAGCTCCAGATGTTTCTGCCTCAACTCCTCTGTTGTGTTGTGTGCATCGACGACGTGCAATATATGTGTATGTATATAATATATATATATGTATATATGGGTCAGCTTGGTTCATGCTACAATGTACAAGGGAGCATGTTGATCATATGTTGGGAGGGCACCGTGCTCTGGCCGGAGATGCCTCGCGCCAAGAGCATACATGCCGCCTGTCGCCACAAAACCGAGATGGTGAGTTTTGGGGGGGGGGCTGGGCCAGAGACCACGCCAAGGGCAAGGGCGTGAGGAGATCTTGACGAACCGGCAAAGCAGGCCAAGTGGTCCATCTTGGGGTCGTTCTGCGATCCGCGCCGCTCGGCGATGTAGGTGAGGCCGCTGGGCTGCGACTTTTCGATGAGGTGCTCTCGAATGGCTTCGGCCGAGTCCACGTACATCCGATAGAACATGCTCTGCTTTTTATCCACAAGCAACCTGTCGTACAGATCGCGGCATGCCATGTGCGTGTGAATCGATGGACTAGCACAGAAGAGCACCATAATAACAATAACATTAAGAATTCTAATAAAATGGATAAAAATAGAGAACGCACCAGGTCTTGATGAGATACTCGTAGAAGCTGTCCCCCATCGCGCCCAGGGTAATCCGCCGTCCATCTTGGTGGGCTGTAGGGAAGATAAGAAATAAGTAATATGAACAAAATAAATAATAATATATACAATGAGCTACCAGGTACATACAAAAGGCAGATGCGTGTGGGTCCAGGTAGATCGGGTACAGCGCGCCATCTGGCTTCTCCATCCGATCGAGCTGCTCAATGTACTATTGCCCCCCCCCCAACCCCAACCGAAGTGGGCAGACTGCAAGACCACTTGACGGACAGATAGCGCTGGGCGTACCTTGGTGACCTGCTCGGCGTAGTATGGATTGCCGGTTCGCTTGCTGAGGGTGATGAACTCGACCTGAATGGTGGCCACCTCGGACAGCAGCGCCGTTCCCGCCCAGCTCCACTGGCCATGGCCGCTGGCGACAGAAGAACGCACGGATATTAGCGTCTCGCTACGTGCGAGGCATGTCGTGTGCCGTGTGTCATTGGCGGCTACGATACGTACGATTGCATGTCAATGGCCGTGTAGGGCCAGTGACCCTGGAACGCCTTGGCGAGGCCGTCACCCACCTGCTTGGCCTTCTCCAAGAACATCGGCTGATTGACGAAGGAAGCAAGAAGATCAGAATGCGTTCAGGAACAACCAACAAACAACCAACAAACAACCAACAAACAACCAACAAACAACAATACATCGACGTGAGCGTACGTCAAGCGACATGTCGTAGGCAGACAAGAGGCCGCCGAGGATGCGAATGGTGCTTTCGAAAGTGCTGACATGTCCGCCCTGAGTTGATTGATTAAAACTGTTGGTCAAACAGACCGATCGCTGGGAAGCAGAGCAGGAAAAGAAAAAACGTGTGGGTACCAGGATGAAGTTGAACGATGCCACCCAATCACGAGCTCGCTGGAATTCCTCCTCCATGCCCATCAGGTAGAGCGTATCCAGACTGTCGATGATCGACGCCTGCCACCGCACACACGACACACACACACACGACACACACACACACGACACACACACACACCCACCAGTAAGTGTGTGCGTGTGCAGGAACCTGGTGTGAAGGGAAAGAAAAGAGGCGTACGCCTTGCCCGTTGCCCATCCAGTTGTGTCCGGTCTTTGAGAGCGGTCTCAATTCGTCTGCGCGCGCGCGTGTCAAAGAGAAGGCAGGGGTCAGCACATGGAGGGCAACCTCAAAAAAAAAAAGAAGACATAAACTCCTCTCGGCACACACCACCACAGCAGCATACCGTGGCCCCACGCATGCTCGACGTAATTGCTCCAGGCGTGCTCCATGGCAGCCTTGACTGCGCGGCGTCGTTCGCCCATCGCACGCTCATGTGCCGGATCTGTCGGATACATCAGCAATTGGGCAGAGCTCGGTGTCGCACAACGAGAGCCGTACCTGTCCTTGGTTGTTCGCCAGGCCGTACGCCAGCAGCCACTGTTTGTTTTGTTTTATTTTATTTTAAAAGAAATAAAATAGAAATGGCAATAAATAAAACGGATTAAATAAATAACAAGAAAGATAAAGGAGGAGAGGCGCACGCTTGGGGGTACGAGGAATCGAATATCGTCGCGTTTCGAACGGGGGCAGCACGTAAAACGTGATGGCGATGGAATAGCTCAGGACGAAGAAGATGAACAACTTCCATCGCAACCGATACAGCGTGCCCCCCAGCCCCATCTTTCCTCCACGCCGCGAGATCAAGACAAAAGAAAGGTGGTGGGAGTCTTCATTTTCATTTTTCGTGTTTTATTTATTTATTTATTTATCATTGTTTCTCATGGCGCCAAGCCGGGAGGTGAGTGCCGTCAACAGAAGAAGGGAGAGGGCTGTGTCAAGGGCTGTTGATGGGGCTGAGGAGGGAGACGGAGGCAGGGTAGCGGTGCTGCTGATTGGTGTCGTGTGGGAGGAAATCGAGATTGGAGTCCAGGTTCTCTTTCTCAAAGTCGTCGTCCAGATCCTCCAGCGCAAACTTGGGCAAGTGGCTCTTCGCGCTCGCCACCGACCTGCTGTTCCCCTTCTGTGTGCGTGTGCGTGTGTTGTCAGCCGCACGACACGCACGACACGCGCACACAACCCCGCAAAGAGGAGTTGACGAAGGGCCAACCTGGGATGGAGAGTCATCGGGATGAGCAACAGAATTCAGAGCGAGGGACACCAGCTTCTCTTGATTCTCGAGCAATGCCGCTTGCTCCTCTGTTGGTGAAACGCGCATGATGGTGAGTTGTCTGCACTGTCGGGCGGCACGTGAAGCCAACCAACAAAACGTACCGAGCTTCTTCCTAAGCATGCTCAGGTCGCTTGTGCCGTCGGCTCTCTTGGGCGTCATCGCCTCAGCGCGCGCTGTAAAAACAAACAACACACCAACATCAATGTTGTGCTCTCCGGATGCAAGAGTGTGAGTGCGATGCGTCGTGTGCGCGTGTGGGGTGCGATGTGTACCAAGAATGGCTGCAAGGCTCGGCGGGAGCTCGGTCGGCGCCTGCTCCTCCGGCACTTGAACCGCCGGCCGAGAGGTCAACTCCTTGAGCGCATGTACGTCCTTCTCCACCTGCTTCTCCAGCGTTCTGCGGAAGACGCCAATCGGCATGTCCAGATATTGGTCGTCGGACTTGATAGGTTCCTGCTCATGAACGCGCAACCACAATAAATTTGGTCAGCTGGCAGAACGTTGGACAAATGGGTCGCAAGTGCCAGTGCCTAGATCGGGGAAGCGCGAGTAAGACGTATATCTACTCTTTCAGAGGTCATAACAACTAATCCTCTGCTCACGCTTCCCTCTTCTTTTGTTCTCTTTTATAACTTTGTTTTGGCCGCAGCGCTGGTGAGTGGAGGGTTGGGTTGTTGAGTGGTACCTTGCTGTCGGGGATGGCCTGTGCGATGGTACGGCGAATCGTGAGGATGGTCTGACGCAGCGACTTGTTCTCCTCGCGCAACACTTCCTGCTTTCGCTCGTAGGAAGCCACGATTCCTCTGAAGATGTCTTCGTCCTTTGGCAGAGTACCACCACATGTGAATCGGTGTGCTAGCTAGCGGTCAAGACCTTGCGAAGCGATTGAGAAGAGCCTGGTACCGATTGCTTGTTCCTGAGTGGTGTTGCTGGCACGGCAGCGCGCGGCAGCCGCGAACCGCCAGCAGTCGAGGAGTTGACGGAATTGAGAAGCTCGGTCGCCCTCCTCGACGCCACATTCTTCTCGGCGATGTACTGCTGCAGCGTCTGCTTGAGTCGCTCGTACTCACGTTCCTTCTTGCGCATCTCGTGCTGCGTCGGAGGAAAGTGGCGAGAGTGAGCTCATGCTGCTTAGTTTCAGGAGATGCAGCACTCTGCGAGCATGTGTGTGCGTGTGTCGTACCAGATACTGGGTGTCCTTTCCCTGGAGAGCGAGAAGCTGTTTGCGTGTTTCCTGTCGTTCGAGGTTCCACTTGGCCTTTTCTTTATCCGTGTTTTCCTTGAGGGACTTCTCGCGCGCCTGGCACAGGGCCGTCTCGCGCTCCAACTGGTCCACTCTATCCTTTAGTCGTTTCTGTGTGTTGCGTGTGGGTTCGACACGTTGGTTGTCGAGTGCAGTGGAAAGAATCAGCTTCGGATCACTCGAGCAGAGGAGGAGGAAGAAGAAATTAAAGGTGTGCCTAAGGACAGTAGTAGAGGCGAACCTTCTCGGCGGCGAGTCTGTGTTCTTGTGAAAGGGACACCGCGAGGTCATCGGCCTTTCTCTCGAGCTGCTGCTGAGCGTCCTGTACAATCACCACAGCGGTACGCTTGCTAAGAAGAAGAAGAGGAAGGAAGGCCCAGGGAAGACGGAGAAGCATCTCGAGAGCGTACCTGGCGCAGCCGCAAGAGGGTATACATGCAGTTGAAGACCTGCGAGATGGTGACGGGAGTAAGCGGCAGGGCTTTGTCGGCCATCTTGAGCATGTCCTCGATCGGCGAAGAGATGCCCAGGAGGGAGAGTGCGTTGTTCAGGTACATGGCACTGTTTGCCATGTTATCCTCGTTGCAGAAGCCCCTGCCGATTGCCATCAAATGTATCGTTTGAGCAAGATTGGCCAGAAAATGCGAGTAGAAAGTTTGGAGGCGTACGCATCTTCCCTGTAGTCGTGCTTGTAGGGGGCACCATCAAAAGACGTATCTGAGGCCTAGCACAGAAAAAGAAATAAGAATTTGCATTTTGTTTACGGTTTCGATCGAGCTGCATTGCAAGGAGAATTACGTCAGCCCAAGCCTGAGCAAGATCGTGGTCATAAATCGCGCGTTCCATTGTGAATCCTCACCGACCGAGCGTTGGTTTCGATTTGATGCGGAAAACAACTTTTTCCCGCCTAAACGCAACGGCGAAAAAAAAATATTTTTCCTGCCAATTTTCTTGTTTCCTGTTCCGCCATGCCACCACACGCACACGTGCACACAACACACAGAACCCAGATCATCTTTTGTGTTCAGATTCTGCTGAGGCCAGCCCGGCCTCAATTAAGGGAGCAGTTCGCTCTGATAATCGCCAAAAATAAAGGACCGTGGCTGGCCTGCCTCGCCATCGGCGTTTGAAGAATGCGGAATAAATCCCTTCAAAAATTAAAAAATATGTTTTGCAATAAATAAAATTTATTATGCACTGGTGTTGTGGGCTCACATGCCCCACACACAAGAATGATACATGCCATACAGTTTGTGAAGCCATGCCTTGATCCTTTGCTTCTGTGGTGATGGTGGCAGTTGCATGGATCAGAGGACCTGCTTTAGCATGTTGATCTCCTCCATGATCACAGTAGCTTTGTCCTTGGCAGCACTTGCTTTGTTGGGGAGGTGAGAAGCCATCTGTTCAAGGCAGGCATCAAAGTCAAGAGGAGGGAGAGGAGGTGACGCCTCAGGGAGTATGGGTGAGAGGCTGTCAAGGAATTCATCCATGTTGAAGCTGTCATGTTGGACCAGTGGCAGGAGAGGTGGGCAGGAGATAGATGAGGAGGAAGATGATGATGCTGAGGATGATGAGGATGATGATGAAGAGGAAGGTGTTGGAGTTGGAGGAACTTGAGATGAGGAGGCTGATGCTGAAGGTGTTGGTACTCTAGGATGTTTTTCCTTGTGGTGATGAAGGAAGTTGCTCTGTGTTGAGAAGTGCTTCCCACAGTCTGCTTGATGGCAAAAATGCTGTGCTGAGGGTGTGGAAGAGGAGGAAGATGCTGTTGTGGTAGGAGAAGATGAAGAGGATGCTGATGATGAGTCCTGTGAGGGTGCTGTTGCTAATGTGGATGCTGAGTGAGTGGAGGATGCCATGTAAGTTGAGGATGATGAGGGTGGATCACCTGATATGAGTGGCGGCAAGTGCAGTTCATTGTATCTGCCCTCATCAGCAGATGTTACCTTCTCTTTCCCTTTCCATCATTTGGATACAGGAGCTGCAGTGTCAACACAGGAACTGGATCAGGGCCATTTAGCTCCTTGCTGTTCCTCATGACAATCAGTTTCCTGCAAGAACAGAGCATAAGCAGGTTGTATGTGGCGCTCTGCTATACACCACACAACATACACAGCACATACCATGGGGGCCTGCATATGGTCAATCACTTGTTGGAGCAGAGAGGCCTTGTTACCCAACAGCCTGAGCTTGTGCTTCTGCAAGTAGACCTTGAGCTGGTCAATGGTCACTGCAACAGTGTGAGAACACGCTGGTGGACATGCACAGACACTTCCAGGCACAGGGTCAGCTAAATGTACACTCAAGCACTTGATGAGCCTTCACTTGTTCCATTACCCATTCCACAGAGATGGGAACTTTCTTGTACAACACTTTCCTTTGTGCATTTGCAAGATCGCAGCGTTGACCTGTACCACACCACATTTGCTGTGAGTGAGCTCAAACATGCAGGTGCTCATGGGGTGGCTACATACCTGTTTCTGCAATAGCCAGCCGCTTCAGCTTCTTTTGTTGTAGCTTTGCCTGAATGGTCAGCTTGTAGTTGTCCCACTTACACCATGCATTGACAACATGCTCCCAGTGAGCTCAGTGCTCTGGAGTGATGATGAAGCCAAGGTGTTGAAAGACATCCAAGAGCAATCTGGCACCTGTACACAGATACCACACAAACATAAGTTTCAGCATTGACAAAGATGCAGACAAAGGTGATGACAACAACTGGGAAACAACAATGATGAATGACAATAATGAAGAAGATGACAGTGAGGAAGAGGATAAAGAAAGAGATACCTTCATTGCACTCAAGGATACCAGCATCAATGAGAGGGGCATACATCACCATCCAGTTGCGCTCCTTGTCTGCTCACTTACAAATCAAGCTATTCAAGAATTTGATGTGAATTGTGTTGTAGCTGTGTAGGTAACACTGGCGGTCAGCAAGGTAGCCCTCAATGAACTCTTGAAGTGTTGCTATCACTTCTGTATTGGCAGGGTTGAGGCGAGGAGTGGCCTTGGGAGGTTGAGCAGTGTGTTGGCACTGCTGGTGGTTCTGGTTGGTGATGTGAGGGATATATCCATGCATATGGGCGCAGAAACTGGCATCATTCCTGGAAAACAGTTTGATGCCTACCAACATGTGAGAACATGTGAGTGATGGGAACAAACACAAGACCAAACAGTTTCAATGCACCAATGAGGAAATGGCTCTTCAGTGATGCATCAAGGCTGGCCAAAACAGGGTGCTTCACAACCAAGTGCTTGAAGTTCTTGACCAGCCCTTTCACCTGGAACAAGAACACTGGTCAGCTTGATTTCCACTGTGCTTTGAGGAAAGAGGATTGTACATAATGATTGGGGTTGTGATATGTGGTAACACTATCCCCAAACACATGTTCCACAACAGTATGAATTGCTGAGTCACCATTGGCTGTTATGGACTTGAGCTGAACGCCACTCTCCTTGTTGAACAAGTGCACTCATGAGATAATGGTCACCTTCTGCCACAACAAGCAACAAATGAGGTACCTTGAGGTGGGTTAGCAGCTGTGCACTGCTGTCTCCTTCTGCTGTACTCGCTGTGCCCTGGTAGGTGTGAAGTGGGTGCTGTTGTGCTCCTGAAGCTGTATCCTTGAGGAGATGGTTCCATCCTAGTACTCCTCCTACATGATGAGCTTCATGCCACACACAAGCATGCCACACAGCATTTGTGTTAGGACACTAGTCAACAGGCCATCAATGCAGTAAGTGGGGGTCTACCATTATCTCTGTTTTGCACTATTGTTGTGATCTCATTTGCATGTTTGGTTTGTGATGAGTAGTGAGAGTCTATCTCAACGTTCCCTCCTGTTGGCTGCTCCTGCTGCATACAGTGCAACTGATCCCCACATGAAGCATCTGTGAGTGTTGTCAGGGTGGGTCCTAACTGCAGCACCATGCGTGCACACAAGTGCCAGACACTCAAAAAGGTTAGTAAATTGATGGCAAACAACAGCAAAGTGAATTGGTGATGAACAGGCATGTCCCTGTCCCTTCATCCCACAACCACATGTAGATCGCCCACTCCATCAAACAATCTTCACCAAACAAGGGTGGGGGTACCAGCATCTTCATTGCCTTCGCATACCTGGCCCTAGACACTGGGACAACGCCGCCCGCCAGTGTGAACACTGTCTCCAATTGCTTGTAGGCCAGTCCAGTCAGCCCCCATGTGATGATGAACTGAGTGGGAGCATTGTGGTGATGGTATCACTGATCGCCTCTATGGGTTGTTGGCTGAGGGGAGGTGCTGCTGAACTTGATGAAGAACTCACAATGCAACAAAGGGCACTGGATGGTGGTTGAGAAGCCCCCCCTGACCTCCCGCCCGCCAATCTTTGCATTGGAGTGAGCACTTTTGGCAGTAGGGGCAGCTGAGCAGGGAGATGATGTTGGTGAATTGATGGAACTCAATCATCCCCCAGATGTGCTGAAATGATACCTTTGCCTTCACTTGTGTTCACTGTTGGGGGGGAGAAGCGCTATGGGATCTCTTTGACTGCTTCAAATCCGCCCATTGTGTTTTTTGTTTCTGGTACTTGTATTCCTCCTGCTCCTTCACCACCACCGTTGCTGCCACTTCTTGTTCTCACCTCTCTTCCTCCTGTTGCTCCAACTGTTCCCTCACTTCTTGGATTGCTCACTCTTCAGCTTCAGCCTTCTCTTTTTTGGCTGCTGCTTGTTGTGCTGCTCACTTCAAGGTTTTACACTTGTATCTGGCCTTCCTTGTTGCTTCTCTATCTGCTGTGGTAACAAGCTGAAAGCTACTCTCAATGTTCATGGTACCCCACCTCTGTCTTCCTCTTCTCTTGTTGTCTGCTTCTTGTCATGGTGACCTCTCCTTCAGCTCTTGGCTTAGGGTTTGCTGACAGCTACCGGCGCCAAGTCAGTTTGAAGAAACATTTGGCCCAAAATAAAAATTTAAGGGATTTATTCTGCATTCTTCAAACGCCAATGGTGAGGCAGGCCAGCCATGGTCCTTTATTTTTGGTGATTGTCAGAGCGAACTGCTCCCTTAATAAAGGAAACTGAAAAATAAAATAATGAACATCCATCAAGGAGCAGGTGCAAGGTTGAGTGGCAAGCTGGCTTGGGCTTTATGAACAGGCTGTTTGGGTGACACACTCACTCTTTGTGTGGTCAGATGTTCTTTTTCCCTGCTCCAGTAGAAGGAGAAGAACCACACAGGAGGGCAAACCTGTTTGGGGACTTACATGTTGTGCTCCACTGCCTCCAGTGCGACTGTTGTATGTCAAGACTTCAGGTAACTAGGTTGGCTGAATTTAGCTTTGACAAGAATTTCGATAATGAATTATTTATAATAATTTTTTGGTTTGACCACGGCAACTTGTTTCTCCGTGCAACATCTTGTCCTGTGGCCACAATCACCTCTTCTCCATCCAATTCACGAACCGAAGACCTGGCCGAGCGAAATTGGAAGCCTCCAATCTTCCACAGCGACGAGAGAATCTCTTCGAAGGACAAGGAAATTAGTGATTCTACTCTACGACCATTTATGAGAATTAGAAGACTTTAGGGGAACATCATGTACGTACCAGGCATCACGAAGAAGAGGGGAAGCAGCGTCAAGGACAGATCGGCCTCGATGCCTGCTGGCGGTGTCGGCAATGTGGCTAGCGAGGCCCTGCTGAGCGCAGCAAGCGAGGCAAAGGAGAGCAAGAAGGAAAAGAAGAACAAATCGACAATTGCGAAGCGAAAG